TGCCATGAGGGTCCCCTATCTTTGAGCCTGAGAAGGGCTCATTTTGTTCAGGATAGTTTAATCGCTGCATTTAAATGTGTGTGTAAAAAAAAACAAAAAACAAAAAACAAAAAAACCAAAACAACAACAAGAACCCATCTGCATGAAACCAAGTTTGATATTCTCTCCCTCTCTTAACGTGATCCCATGAATTTCTTACATTGTTGTGTCCCATGTACTAAGGGTCCCATGCAGAGACCAAACAATAAAGCAGTGAGAAGACAGATGCTCTCCTAATGGGAAACCAAGGAGAAGAGAGTCTGTGAGGGATTACAGGCAGCCTGGGATTGGAATACATTATTAGCATAGCACCCAATTCAGAAATTAGTTTTCAGAATTAAATGCCTGAAGCATCTTGGCAAAAACTCCAGATCATCCCTCCTAAAAGCCTTTAAAGCACAGCAGAGCAGGAATCTCAATTCTAAGCTGAACAATCACATTCAGTGCAACAGTGAATTGTAGTTATTATGGCTTCATACCCTTAGTGCAGTGGCAACTGCCACACCTACTGCAATGCATAACCTACTTGATCTGTTCGCACAAACCTGCAGCAGGTTTTAAACATCCCATCAAAGAAGAAAATGGGTCTGAATGAGATTCCAAGGTCTGTTTCCAGGAGGAAGGTTTTGTTTTGTTGAGTGCATAACAGCAGGGAGGCACGTCAGCCTCTCCTTGGGCACAGATAGACATGTGAAGGAGAAGCAGCGACATGTCTTTCAAAGATCTGATGTTGCCTAAGGTAGAAACTTTGAGTCCTGAAGCCTTTTTCAGGCATGCTCTTTTCTGAATGTTTTTACTTTTGAAAATGGTGATGAGAACATCAAACTTTAAAAGATCCTGGGTAGACAACCAAGACTGGTTAAAGGATTGAGGGCAGACAGGAGAAATCGTTTCTTATAGTAGTTGGTGGCATTATCCTCCATGCATAATTTGTTCATTATATGCTCAAAATTCATTGTTAATTTCTTTTGGATATATTGCGCGTTTGACAGAAGAGTTCATAAACCCCAAGATTATCACAGGAGGATGCTAACAGGCCTAAATATTGAGGACAGAGGGGGACTTGTTTTCTTCTTCCATCGAAACAAAGACTCTTGGATAGAATCATTAGAGATTTTTGCTTGTTTGATAATCAAAGTATAGCGGACAGCAAACAAAAGAAAAGTTCAGCCAGCCAAGTCTTCTACTTGATTTTTACTCTTCTGTTCTAGCATGATTGAACATATTTCTCAAGGTTTATTTAGCTTTGCAGAATCTTATTTTATACAGCTATCATTGGGGAGCTTGATTATTAAGTCTTGAATCTTTCACATTAACTGAGATTTTATTATCCTGGGAGGGAAGTGAAGGACAAGGTAAATATATGGGAGAAAACAGTTGTGACCAAACTAAGAAATCGGGAAAAATAATACCAGCTCTTCAATATTCACTTGCCCTCTTTGCATTTTGGCAACTGGCATCTTATTTCTAAGTCACAGAAGTGAGAGTAAAGGCTAATGCTTCATTTTTAGCTTTGAATTTCAGAGCTGTCATTTTAATGAAAACTTTATGTTGTATATATGCCTAATTAGTATGCATAATCAATATTTGTTAATGTTAAAAAATACAGTCCTTATTTGTTATGGCTATATATGGTCTATAGCCTTGTGAAAATTTCTGCCTAGTTTGAGACTGGTCTGTACTTACTCGTCTGTTTTCTTACTCGTCTGCCAACTAAATAGTTTTTTGTTTTCATTTTTAATGGCAGCTATAAGAACCTTGTAAAGTCAGGCCAGAATTAAGCCTAGTTCTGCTTATACCCTGAATGATATTGTATGTATAAAATACTGTGTGTACAGGAAACATAACTATGATTTGACCTCTGCACAGGGATCTTACCTATCAACCCATGTTATTTCACTGTTACACCTCAATCCGTTTTTCATGTCTCCAGATTGTGAAACAGGCTGCCCAAAAACTTTTCTTCCCCCTCCAACCATGTCAGTCATGAAAGAGGCTAGAAGTTGAGAAAGTAACCCCGCTTCTCTTGCACTTACTCAGTTTACAGAGTCAGGGAGATGGGTCCCTTTGTTCCACCCGGCCACACTGGGAACCCACCATTATGGTGGCTTTTGGGATTTGCTGACAATTAACAAGGAAGCCGTTCTGCCTTGTCTGCAGTTTGGAGCAAGTCACAACTTCTGTCTCATTGCATGCAGAAGATTTGTGAAGCTTAATATATTAATGGAATGCTTCAAAGACCAAGGTTGTCCATTTTAATTAGTATTTTAAGACTTCTTTTCTAAGCTCTGCTTTTAAAATTGAAAACTTAGCACAACAGCCATGTCTGAACTCTCCAGGTTAGGAACAGAAGCAAACATAGCAAAGCAGAAGTTAAAAGTGAAAGAGAGAAAGAAAGAAGTTAAAGGTGAAATGCAAAAATGTGAAGAAAGTTATTTATTGGTTACCTGCAAACAGCAGTGTCCACAGTGCTACCATCATGTAGAAAAGCAGCGCTGCTGAGATCTGAGACTATTATTCTTTTCCAGTCCAGATAGATTTAAAGGGTGAGCAGAGCCCAATCCACGTGCCAGCTCTCACTGAATCAGCTTTCAGGTCTGGCCGGATCCATGCTGGGATCAGAAAAGAGAACGGTGTAGTGGTAAAGGAGAGTTCCCCGAGCCCATGAAATATTTTATCGCTGTTATTAGACTTGCTGCCATTTTGCAAAATCTTCTTAATTGGGTAATCCAGCTCTGGATGTGTTTGACGAATAACAATTCTCTTGTTAAAAACAAATCATGGTTTTAATTTAATAGGGTTAGTCATAAAGAGTGATTTTGTGTCAGCGAAACCTTTCTTTCTGACAAACAGTGTAATTTATGACAATCTAGTTAGCAATAAATGACATTAATATGACCGCTAAGCCATTCTGTGCTTGGGGAATAATGTTCCTTCTTAATCAATAAGTGGGTAAATGTGCCTTTGCATTCCTTATCAAATGACAGCCAGATGGTACTGGTAAATTCATTCCAGCAGGATTTTAGAATTAGCTGGGTTTGTACTATTGTTAATCCGCTGCTGTCTGCTCTGCTAGGACCTACCCACCTGTTTCCAGTAACCCCTGGGTTCACAACCTTAGGAAATAGTCTAGCCAGATGGTTACTCAGATACAGTGCAGCCAAGAGGCATCCCAAGTAGAGGGAGGCCTTTTTTCTGCCTCAGTAAGAAGAAGAAAAAGCAAATACAAGCTGCTACCTGAAAGTGGGCAGATGAGCCCAACTTTTTTTTTTTTTATGTCTATACTGGCATGCTAGTTCCATTACACAGTTCAGAATAATACCTTGCAGAAATAGCCAACTAAAATGGTCTGCCCACCTCTGTATTTGTTCCTGAACACCCTGGACCATTAAGTTAAAGTGTTAAAGTTTCGTAAGATTGCCTGAGCTGTGTTCCTTAGTGTGTAGTAAGTGGAGAGCTGTGCCAGCTGCAATAGCATCGTTTACTGACTTGTGGGCCCATGAAAGTATCTGAGAGACCCTTTTCTTCATAATTGCTTTTGTTGCATAGCAACAACAATTTTGTCTCCAACCTATTGATCTGAAATAACATATAATCCCCTCACAGCAATAAAAAGGAAAACATATGGCAGCTTTAGGCTGTGAACCAGTGGCTTTTGAACAGAGGGGACAGTTAATCCCCACTAAATCAAGGGGGGAATGGAGCAAGCCATAGGCTCTGTAGGCTGAGGCTGCAAGGATGCATTAGGATGCTTTGAGCCAATTAACCTGAGCTCTGGCAGAACAGTTCAGTTTACCCTTGTCCTCCCATCCCATGTCTTTTATCTTACACAACCATAGTACTTTTCAGATGTGCCTTGCTATAACCTTAATTGCTGAAGTTAAACTTCACTGTGCAATACCATGCAAATAACTGGGCACCCCTTCCCTCTGGCAGGAAAGAATGCACAGGCAGCAATTAGTTTATGTGGGACTGTAGCGGGTAAGGGTAAAGTTCAGCCACTGCAAATACCAGTTACAAAATTACATGGCTGGAGTTCTTCAGGCAAATGCTACCTGATTGCCTGTAGGGTAGTTGTCTGGTAGGTCAGTTGTCTGGCCTGATAACCTTGATGTTACTTATCTTTTTTTCTCATATGCCTCTAAACTTGGGGTTAAAGCAGGACTGTGACATCTTAAATAGGACTTACTTTAGGGAGCCAAAAACACAGTTGAAATGTAAAACACTCAGGCAGGGAGCTTGGAGCTTTGGATTCCGAGTGGACAAAGGCACCTCCCTGCTGACATGCCCCTGTCCCTGAAGCTGGGCGAGCTCTGCCACCAGGCCTGCCCCAGGCTTTCCCCTTCCCCATGCGGGCTTGAGCACCAGCTCATGGTTAGTTCTTATCTTTCTGATAAGAATGTTGCCCACATTGCATAAGGAACCTAAACTCCAAAACTGGACTTTCAGATTCTCCCCTGGATAAAAGTTTGATCTCCACAGGGTGTAAATCCCCATTTTGTGCTGTCTTCCAGCCTGCATCTAACACTGAGTGAAATGTAGATCCTGAAGCTGATGCCAGTAAGCATTTGGTCATTAATTTTAGTACGAGTCAGGAGGCATGTATTATTTATTTCCCCCCTTACCTCCTTCCCCTCTCCTCCCCCCCTCCCGTCGGTCACAAAGGCATGAATGGAAGCTAATTCCAGCACACCAAAATAACAAACACTGCCAAGAAGCTTTAAAAATAAAAACTAAACTTTAAATAATCTTGTTATATAGCAAACCCCAATGTTTCAGTGCTTCAGAAGGCAAAGCTTGCAGTTGAGCATGTTCCAAGTGCAGAGTGAAGGCTTCTGAATCTGTCTCTTCTAAAACCATTATATAGTTTGCTGTCATGTGCAGCACAGGCTGAAAAGTAGCACAGCATTCACTTAGAGGGGTAGCTACTAATAATTCTTTCCTTTCTGTCATTTGAACAGTATTCAGGTTTTCAGCAAACAGCAGACAAGTGCTTTGTTTGTGGACACCTCATAATGGAAATGGTAAGAGACCTAAATTCCTAATTGTGGGATATATTTCTTTTGATGTATTTCAGATAGTGCACTTTGGCATGTTGTACTTTTTCATTAGTCGTACTATTATTGTGTCCCCCATATTGTTAAGATAAATTTTGAAATTCTGGAAGTATCTTAAATAAGTTAAAATGCTGTGTTGATATTAAGTACAGTAAGTTGGGATTTTCTTCCTCCTGAGATCGTGGGACACAGTTTTTCCGCAATATCAGTTTCTCCCACCAGTAAAAGAAAGCCAACTATAAATTTTAATACCAAAGGGAAAAATGCAGAACAGCTTCATAGGGGAACGTGGTAAAGGAAAAGAAGAGGCTGCTCCGTAATGCAATGAAATAGCGAGAGCTCTGTCCAAGGGAAGCAGTATGCACTACTGAGAAGAGGGACATCTATCTATTCGTAGTCTGAAGTTTGTTGCCAGCTCTGTGACTTGCTTTATTTACCTTCTTCCCCTTGCTCTGCCTCTGTATTTTTTCTGTTTCACATCTGTTAAAATGCACTATTGCCACTATAATTTGCAGGGAGCCCATGGTCAGTTACTTTTATAATAAAAAATACAGGCTGTGGGTTGGGGCAGATAGAGCTGGCATCGTTTCACTGGATGAAAGTATGATGAATGTAGACTGTTCTTTCTAAGCAGAAATTCCCAAACAAAACAAAGTAGACTGCACGCTGAAGAAATGTCAGTCATGATATATTATCATATACCATAATCTATTATCATAATATGTTGATGCTTTAAAACGTGCATGAATATCAGCATGCCTAATAGAAGTAGCTATTGAGTTGTGAACATGGAGGTTCAGTAGAAGCTGGAACGGAGGCTTAACTAATGAGGATTCTGGCTCATGTCCTGGCACCACTGTTTGGACAAGGATATTGTTCGTTTTAGCCCAAGAGCAAATTTGTAGAGTTGTGTCATGCTGGGAGGGGGAGGGTATTCCAACTTGCATGCTTTGAGCCGGTCCTTAATTGCAGAATCTTAGGCAAGAGTCCATAATATCTCGTTGGTGGAGTGCAGTAGCTGGAAGTTTGGCAGGTGCTTGTCTGCCTTTCTCCCCTCAGTAAATGTGCTCCAACAAAATGAAATAGCACTGGGAGCTCCAGGAATTAAGCAGCCTTACTTGGCTAATTCCTTCATGTTCCTCCCCAGGAGTGAACAGACTACAAACATGCCTGCACAGTAGAGGTACCGGTGCACAGCTGAGGAGCAGAGCTGCAACTCCACAGGCTTGGGTGCAAGCCTGAAGCTGTTCAGAGGCTCAAAGTGCAGTTGAATTAGTTGTTGTTCTGTGCAAAGAGCTGCTGCAGAGCTGGGCCAGACTAGCAGCTTGTTATATCGCTGCCTGGATAGTGACACGCACAGAGAGGAGTTGTTTCTGAATAGGAACAAGCTTGCAGATTGATCGGAATCGCATGCCAGTCACTGAACAGAGAGAACTGTAGGGATTCATGAGGAGAAAAAAAAAAAGGTGAAATTAAATTGGTTTCATGCATTTTTCCTACACTCCACTTCTTTTTTCCTGTTGATTTGAACTTTATTTTTAGAAACATCTACAGGATTGTAAGAGATTGGCCTGTGGAGATTTTCATCTCCAGCTTATTAACAGCTCCAAGCTGAACACTACTGCTAGCAGATACTTTTTGAAATTACCTCCCAAAGGTGATTCGCATGCCTGAAATGCGTGCAATTGGTGTTGTAACCCATTGACAGCTGCTTGAAAATACCATGTACAACACTTTCCAGAGATTTGTTCGTGGGCTTGGCGCATCCTTGTTGACATCCCAGCACCGCTCTAAGCGTTATGTACGAGGACGCCAGGAGGAAGGGATTTGTTCTGTAGCAGTGTGCAGGCCTTTCCTTGAAACCTTTAAAATGCGATAGGGAAGATCAGCGTGGCAAAAGCCTGGACAATTTTAATTATCCATTGATACAGATAGAATCTTAACTGAAACTGATGGGCCCCTGTGAGTGACATCCAGTGGATCAGAAGCACTGATAAAGGGACACTTACTTATCATTTTTTTTACGTTTTGTTGTTTGAGTATTGACTGATTCAGACTCTTCCTGTTACAGCCCATTATGTTTTGCAAATTAACTCTGTATCCCAGTAGCTTGTATTTGGCTGCAGCAGATTTTCCAAGAAACCACCTAGGAAGCCATTTTTAATATCTGTTGCGCTGTATTGGCTCTGCAGAGCTAAGACTGATGGTCATTAGCTTGATTTTTCACAGTTCTCTATTGAAAGCCTTCTATAAACCTACTGAAAAGATAATTTATTGTTTGTAGAAGGGCCATCGCTGCTAGATTTGCAGAGTGGTAATTTTGTCCTGAAGGGCGTTTCTCACTCACCTAGTAAGTGCATTATTAAGAATCAGACACAGCTGGGAGTGGGGGCAGGGGGAATCTCATGCAATCGTGCATCCACTCATTTTACTATTTGCCTTCTAAGATCTTACAGGCCCTTGGAAAGTCATACCATCCTGGCTGCTTCCGCTGTGTGGTATGTAACGAATGTTTGGATGGAGTCCCCTTCACTGTAGATGTGGAGAACAATATTTACTGTGTCAAAGACTATCACACGTAAGTACACAGATCCATTGCATGTTTTGAAAAATTGTTAATTAAATTACTGTTATGAGCCTTGCAGTAGATAAATTGTCTGTTTGTTCTCATGTCTTTTTTTTTTCTGATATCCCTCAATGCTCTTCCCACATATTGTATTTGTAAGGTATATTAAAGTTGTATTAAAGATCACTTTGGAGGCCCAATGTGACATAGAGGCACCCAGTGAGGTTGAGAATCAGACTGTGTCAAAGAGGATAGTTCTCTTGTGGTTGCTTCTCTACTTCTTTCAGGACTTTTGAGTACTAATTAAACCAGGCTAATTCTGCAAGTAATGGTATGTTCTGCTGGCTGCTTCTAAGAGTCCAGATTCTGGCAGTGCGTGACAGTGGAGTGTATGTTATGTTAACTTACACGGGACAGTAGACATGCAATTAGTAGCTAGTGTTAGAATGATTTTAGTGACACCTGCAATACATTTTTGAGGTTTAAGTAAGTTATTAGTCTTGGGTTCTCTTCTGCTCCCACTCAAAGCCAATGTGAATTAGCTCCCGTCAACCAATAACGCAGCTTATGCAGCAAGAGTCCGTCACTCTGAACTCAACCCTGTCGGTCTAACTGACCACACTGCAAGAGTAGAGCAAATGTTGGCCCAGTGACTGTCATAAAATGCAGCTGTGGGTAAGACCAGTTGATTTATTTGGTTTTAATAAGTAGATCCTAGCCACGATCAGCCCCCCTCATGTTTAGCGGGGTCGTGTCTTCCTGCCATTAGTTGGTGACAGTCCCTAAGTCAGGAACTGCTCTGCATCAAAGCAGGGAGTCCCTGGAAGAATGTGAATGGCTTTATGAATAAAGGAAGGTAAGAAAGAAGGCATAGGCAGAAAAACTGTTGGAGTAGTTATGCCCAGAGATCAGGAAGACCTGAGCTGGGGTAGATCAGCCTCTCTTCCAAATCTCCTTTTCCTTGAATTTCAGCAAAAATTTAGAGGTGGTTCAAATCCCTTGGTTCTCTATATTTTGCTAAAAAGAAGACATGACCTTCTTTGGTTATATTTATTTGAAGAAGCTTTGAATGTGATTTGAGCGTTTTCTTCTTGCACCATAGGGTTTTTGCACCAAAATGCGCTTCCTGTAACCAGCCGATTCTGCCAGCACAGGTATGTGTTAACATGCACGACTCTTTAGGGAAGACAGTTGTTTGCCTATGAACACTTTCTAAAAACACATTAGATACTTTTCCTCCCTGTTCCAGAATCTATAGTAAGGCAGGCACTAAATTAAATACAGTTCAGCAGTAATATCACTCCCAAACATTCCCAGAGATTGTAATAGTTATAATACTTACGCAGCATAGTACTTTGTATCTTTAGGGTGCTTTGCTTTCCAGGTCTTAATTATGCTGATATAAATCTCATTTAATTGAAAGCCCTGACTGGGGCTTCAAGAACAACCCAAGAAATAAAGCTGTTAATTTTCAGAATCTCCCATTAGCTCAAGTAGCAATTTTATTTGTCTGCCACATTTGCATTTCTGATGTGGATCTGCTAAGATGCCTAAGCTCGAAAAGGTATCTGAGGGTTACCCTGGCCCTGTGAAAAGGCCACACAGCCTGTCGTCCTAGGGTGGTACTGTAATGAAAGTGCTTAAAGGGGTGGAAAAGGAGGTAGAAAAGTTAGCTAAAAGGGTCATTCATCTGGCTTGCAACCTCAGCCCATCCTGACAATACAATTAGCACAGTAAGACTTCTGTGTTACGGCACATGGTCCTTTTCTGTTTGCCTGCAGTGATGCTCCCCCTTAATTCCAGTGAGTGCAGGACCCACTGCTCAAGTGCTCAATGAGTTCCCACTGCTCAAGTCACTGGCTAGCCTATTCTTAAGCAAGAGCCTCAATACCTCCCTCCTCTTCCTCTTGTCATGTGTACAGAGCCAGAGTTTGCAGTGTAGAGCATGCCCCCCACCACCACCACTCTGCACATTGTACTCCATTTGTTGTTATTAATCTTTCAAATGGCCAGATCTCACATAATTAAAAACCTTCTAAAGGGTGAGCCAGAACTGCCTGCCTTGCTGATGGGAAGTGAGGAAAAGAGCCCTATCTAAATTTCACTGGTTTTGTGTTTTACAAAGTTATTTTCTGAAGCGTAGCTGTCCTAATGCTGACTCGTTTGATAGTTAACAGGATAGACTCCACCTCCTTTGCCATGGAGATTTCATAGGTTAGTTCAAGTTTAGTAGTGCAGGTGCTAACTTGTCCACAGCTGCTCTCAGACATAGCCTACATCATATTTGATGCTCTAACCACACCTGGAACTGAAAACAACGCAAGAAAAAAATTTAATGAGCTCTGTGTTCAGAGTGGCTCACAAAAACAGTCTGTGAGGTTACAAGAAGGGTATGGGCTGCTGTGCAAGGCCTGGGACTCGGCCAGGAATTACACAGCTCCACTGCATCCACCCTCACGCTGAGGTTTTGGCCTGTGCACATAATTACCTGCTGGCCTGGTATGTAAATCCCTGTGGGGTACATACAGTGACATGTGCGTGTGCAAAATAGCTGCGCAACAGCTGGTTTGAGGGGAATACAGTCCTGGAAAGCTCAGGCCAGGATGTCTATAAGGAGAAGTAACCTAGTCAACAGGTTTTTGGCTGCTAATTTGTTCAAATCCGGGGTGCCCTTGGAAAATGATTTGATTTCAAGAGAAATTTGTCCCTTGAGGACAAAGTTTTGGCTACACTTCCAAAAGGAGCTCTACAGCTCAGATATGTCAGATATCCCAACTGCTGCCACACAGTGAAAACAGGGGTACAGTGTTGTGTACTAGGGGGACAAGACCCTTAGCTGTCACAGAGCTGCTGAGCAGAGGGAGAGGGGGGGGGTTCCCTGCAGGGGAAGAGCTTTCCAAAGCTACAGGTTGGGCACTAAAAGAATATTGACAAACCACAACTTACAAGCCCATTCTTACATTCTCTGTGCTTCCCAAACAGGGCTCTGAGGAGACCATTCGAGTCGTGTCAATGGACAAAGACTACCATGTGGAATGCTATCACTGCGAGGTAAGTGTCTAGTGTCTCTGCCTGTCTACAACACGGCAAGTCTTTGCTAATAACTAGCAACCTCTTATAGATGCCTGATTGCATGCTAGGGTGCACTCCCCAGCTCCTGCACATGCCTGGGCAGGTAGGGTTCTGCCACGCTGCTCCATGGAGGGAGGGGGGGAGGATGAACAGCAGCAGTGAATTGCTAGCTGAGCTGCAAGTGGTGCCGTCATCTCCAGTAGCATGAAAATAGTTTCTTTATTTTCAGTAAACTAATTTCAAAAGCTGGGTGCAGGACCACTTACATATTTATTGGGGGAGAGAGACTAAGCTGTGGAATAAGTCAACTTGCTTCAAAGGGAGGAGAGCTGAGTTTATTCCTAGCTCTGCATCAGGGAGTATGAGGAAGGAAACAAATCCTAATTTGGGATCAACCCAAAAATTCCCCTTTGCTGTAGGTTTGTTTATCTGATACAAAATGCATCTATTAACATAGATTGTAACTGCGTTACTGTCCAGAGTGGACTGTCTTAGTCCCTGAAGCAAAAATGCAGCAGTCCTCCTTCCATACATTCCTGCACAAAAGGACTGTACAAAGAAATTTTCAAATGAGGGAGAACAGAGCAAAACTCAGGGCATCTTGAAATGTGTGTGAACCTAAATGTGAGGAAGAGACAGTCCACTCAGCTATCTCCTCCTAATAGAGACAGATGATACTTCATCCTTTCCTATTAATTTTTAAGAGAAATTGGCAAAGAAAATCTAAGCGTTCTGAAGAGCTAGCTGTGCTTCCCTCCTCCTCCTTCTTCCCCCATCTATTGCTTTGTGCAAGCTTCACCTAAGATGACAGCTCCCTCCCCTTCTCTCCCAGCCTATTGACTTTATATTAGAATGTCCCAATGGGGGTTTATTTCCAGTTCTGTTTCATTATTCAGTTCTCCATTCTCCTTCCAGTTTGAGGCAAATCAAGCTGCCCTCACATCTGCCCAGAATGGCAGAGTGCATTACATGCAGAAATTAGGGGGTTAGCCATGTGTTAACAGGGGTAGGTTGCTGCCTAACGGCCTCAAATGAGGCGCTCAAACTGTACACACTGGGTCACTGATACTTCCAAATACCGCTACTAAAGCTAGTGCTGCTATTCTGAGATAGTCAAATGGACACTTTACAAAGGTCCAACCTCTAGGAAGACTTACGCAGCCACTTCTGAAACGGTTAAGTTGCCATCCTCATCCATGGGCCATGCAAAGGCAAGCAGTCATTGTGGAAACTTTGCTGCCTTTCCATGTCACCTCTTTCTTGTGTGACTACTTCTGTTGTGGAGTTCAAGCCAGTTTGCAAATCAGTAAGACCCCTGCCTTTACCTGCAGAAAAAGGAATATAGTTTTGGAGAGGGGAGCAGGTATGTTACGAACATTTGGCACATCTGAATTAAAGTTCTAATGAGGCATTCAATTTTAAATTTTAACTTAAGGGCTGTAAGTTACTAAATAGCATATAGTCACACACAGACAACTAGAACAGGATTGTACCTACCGCAGCACATATAATAGTCAGAAAGCAGGATTGTTGTTTGTTTTTGCTTTTTTTCTTTTTACCTCTCTTCCTCCACTTGTGTGCACGCATGTTGTCCTGCAGTTATTTGTCAAGAGATGCAAACCTATCTCCACTAAAAATATGGACTATTGGCCTTGAAGTCTTTAATTTTTTAAACTCCAATGTGAATTAGAGAAAGGACAGTTCAGCTTCAGAAGAAAAAGATGCTCCATCCCTTCCCCCATCTTCCTCATTCTCTACTTCATTGTCTTTGTGTTCTCCAGCTCACGTTCCCCCATATCCTGCTCACCATCTTGTTACAGAACCAGCTCCTTTTCTGTTCTAACCTGTTCTGTGTTTTATATGTCAGCATGAGTTCTGAAGTAGGGTTAGTGCTTGGCCTGCTTTTGTCTAATTTGCATCAACATTTACTAGATGAAGAGACCAGAATGGGATTCAATGAAAATAAATGCTAGAACCAGAAATGCTGTACGATTGTCCTGTTAGATTTCGGTGACAGGAGTTTGCTTAATATGAGATAGTCAGCATCCATCTACCGCAAACTCTCGAGGTTGCTGCCTTTTGAAGTATTTGGGGGAGCTCTAAGGGTTATGCGAGACAGTTCAACACTGTTATGACTTACCTGAATCACTCACTAATCTAGGATGTATGTTTTTCTTCTAGGATTGTGGTTTGCAGCTCAATGATGAAGAAGGCCATCGTTGTTACCCTTTAGAGGGCCACTTGCTCTGCCACGGCTGTCACATTAGGCGCCTTAATATTAAATTGCCATCACATCCACCTCCGAGTTATCCAATGCATGTCACAGAACTCTGAAAGACATTTTCCATTTACCACAAGCCGTATAAAAGAGAAGACAGAAAAATCTAAAAATGACTTTCCTGTTCCCTTAAAGATGAGATTCCTGTAATAACCATCCTAACCAGCTATTTATTTTTTAAATCAGAGGTGAAGGGTCCTTTCTGATCTTGTACATATGCATTCTTTTATCTAGACATTTTCACTGAGACACTGTCTACTTGAACAAATAATGCACCACTAAACTGTAACTGTAAATGGCAGCATTTCAAAAAACAGTGGTACAAAGGGCTGTTCTGCACTCCCTTATTCACTTTCCTTCAATTGAGGTTTTTGCCCAAGTAAGGAGTGTAGAATTGCTACCCAAAAGTTAGCACCTTATCATATCACAGCAAGCACAATAAGATAAATGCTAGCATTTTAGCTAGTTTCACTGCATTCTGGTCTTAGAGAATACAGGCTCGTGTTTTTAAAAACTTAGATTCCCATACGTAGTGAATAGGAAGCAAATGAGTATTTTTAGCAATGACAGTTTTCAGCATGGGTTAGGTAATGGTATTCTATGAAGACGCTTCAGGCCAACTTTCCATGCTGCTTGGTTCCACAGTCATCCGAAGACTAGAGCTTGTTGAAGAAATATGGCAAGCATCTCATATAGAAACCACATCACAGAATAACATCCATTTGAAGTGTTAAAAGATTGGTACATGCAGGGTTGTAGCAGTTGAAGAAAGTTATAGACCTCTGTAATTACTTGTCATGTACAAGAGGTAGCCATGGTTTCAAAACACATTCACATTGACTTGATGATTTGGCACTTACTAAAAATTCATATTTTAAAGCTTTTTTTTTGTTAATAGGGTTAGCAGCCCCTTTGGCTATGCAAAGTTACACTTCTCTTTCTTTATGCTACTTGTTTTATACAAGACTTCATTTGTTACCAACTGCTTTACAATTGTATGTTGAAACATTATAAAAAAGGGGAGGGGGGGGCGGTGGTTTTGTATTATCTTTGCAGCTTTGTGTTCTTTTCCAGATGTACTTTTGAACGATTATGGTGATTGTCTTCATTTGAAAACAAAGTACAATTTAGCAGAAATAATAATTTAGAAAATCAGACAATTGAAGCATTGGTATTTTATAACAAGTATTAGCTGTACATAGAATGTACACACTTTCATATTTTGCATAAGCTTTTACAGTAACCTCAGAGCTCTGGGGAAATATGTGTCTTCCATATAGGAAGTTAGATGAATCTTTTTTATGGTTTGTTTTCTACCATGTGTTGATGATTTACATGCAAATCACACATCTGTATGTTTAAAAAAATTCCTTGCATTCTCATGAGAATTGATCCAGCCTTCCTGAATTTATATTTTAAATAAATCCATCATTGCTGTCTTCAACTGTATCCAAAATTACAATAAAATAAAATTCTTCTGGTCTAGAGGAAGTGGAAATACCAGACCAGATTCTCAACAGACTGTAACAAACTGAGACAGTTCCATTGCCAGCTCACAACAAGTACAGAATCTGACAAAACAGTGCTGAAATGATCACGTTAAATTCGACACACAGACTGATGAAATGACTTGACTTATTTGGCAACACCATTGCCATTTAGTTTCTTAGGCTCCATTGATTTTTTTGAAAGCTAATTGTGGTGCTGTTGAAAAGTACAAAGGGCATCCAATAGCAACTAATTCCTAAATGGAATAATTAACTCCCTTAACAGAACTTTTTGATAGTTGGGAATTTCCTTTTGGGGTGTGAGGGAAAAGAAAGGAAAAAATTCTGTTAAATACTTTTTTTTTTTCCTCTCTCTATTAGGAAGAAACAAAGGGTATGTTTCCTGAACTTTTGCCAGAGTTACTGATTTTGGCCTAGATTAACCTGTCCTACTGAATGCTCCTTGGCAAGTCACATGCTCCTTTAAGTAGTCATTTTGTAATTAATATATATCAGTTTATAATTAATATGTTTAATGCAAGAAAGAGCCATATTTTGAAGCGGTTAGTATGCACTAGTGTCCTGTTCCTGCAGTGCAACCTAAAAGGCCTGGCCTGCAGGAGAGCAAGCACTGGGTGCCTGCACACTTTCTCTGCATTTGCAAACATCACCTCTGTGTGCACAGTCACCAGACCAGCCTCAGGAAGAGTCTAAAAGCGCATGTGAGCCTCGCTTGCCCAAACAGCAAATTCCAGAACAGGAAAAAAAATTGTCTGGAATTGGATTATATGGCTAGGTCAATTCCTTAAGATTATTACATAAAAATAGCCAATGGAAGGTGTGGAGCTTCAAGATAAACTTTTAGCATCAGCTGCATTGTAATATTTTTTTCCATTTAAGGACGCTGCTTTGGACCACATTTATCTTCGAGACGTTTTACTTGCTTTTTTTTTTTTTGTTTTTTAAACACAATATATTTTAAGGAAACTAAATTAAAAAAAAAATTTGTTACAAGACGCAGAGAAGGTTTGGGTCTGTTCCTTTGAGCAAGTCATCCTGTAACAGTACTTGCTATTGAAAAAAAAAACCAAAACCAAAAACTTTACTCAACCAACATGGACACAAACCTTTGGAGCCATAGGAGCCAGAGGTGAAAGAGGATTTACTCTGGCATTCAGCCCATGCTTCTGTCACTGTCTTTCTTAGCATGCTGCCTCCTTCAGGGGCAAGTTGAAGTTTCCATGCCAGCATTACTTTTCAGTGGACAGCACAATATCTAACATGTACATACAATACTTTTTTTTTGAATGATCATATTTTAGGACAGAGTAATATTTAATTTCACACGTTAATTTGTCTGTCCGTCTTGTAGTTCTACTCAGTGCCAATGTGTAAAGTAGCATCACAGGAAAATAGTCAAAAAGTTAATTATTCAATATAGCATAAGCAATTTGTTTAAAAGCCAGAAAGCAGCAGTTGTTCCTCCAGTATTTTTCTACAGACAGGTGCATTCCGTTACTGTATAATGAAGTACAGCTTTGCTTTTCCAGCATTTAATATTAAAAAAAAAGAAAAAAAAAAAAAGAAAAAAAAAAAGGAGCTTGAGTGAAATTTGCCAGTTTTTAAATCAAGGAACAGAGAAAAATAAATCTAAAATAATGATGTGCTGTACTGTTTATGCTAGTGATTGATAGTTTCGGTACATTTTTTTACCTCCTGTCTGGAGACTTATGTAAATGAGCAAGCGTCTTTTAATGTTTTTCTTAAGGCCTAGTCTAATATTAAATCAGTTCAGCACAGATATAAACTTTCTAGAGTTCCTTTTATGATGTGCTTATTCAGCAGAAGCCTTGTCTTTGTCCTGAAGTTTCAGACTATTTCCATAAAGTAACAACTTGTACTCATTTGCATCAGGAAAACACCCTTCCATTTTGGTAAGGCAGTCTTAAAAAGTCCCTACAGGACATAGCTGTTTTGGAGATGTAGAGGCCCTAGTGCACTGGAGGATGAGTTCCAAAGCCAGGACCAAAATAATAATTTGTAAACAAAAGAACACATTCAGATAATTAAGTGTTCAAAAGGGGGTTGTTTGGGTTTCTTTTCTTTTCCTTTAGTGTGTGCTAGTGTGCGTGTGCACGTGTGTGTGTGTGTATTTTGTAAGGTGGAGCTTCAAAAGGAAAGCATGGCTAGAGGAGCTCTTTAAGACCAGAAATTCCAGAGTAGTTAAGTAAACCAAAGCGCTAAAGGAGACAAAAGCTGCTTTCTTGTGTTTCAAGAAAAGTTTAAAAGTTTGTGATTCATCCTGTAACTAATGCCGTAACTAGAGTATATAATTTGACTTAAATTAAGTTTTCATTTGAGAAATATTTTCATTTTCTTTAAAAGAATATAGTGTTCTTCCAAGAACTTGGACCAACGTTGATTTTTATTTTGTAGGAAATATATAAATTCCCAGTTTGTATATCATGTAACTAGTTTACATGCTGCAAATATACATTAGTTTAACTATTTTTGTGTATATATCCTTGTAAAACCTTTCAATGTGCTTCTGTCATTTAGTCTTTAGAATTACTTGTGGTTTTTGTGTTTCAATGTTTGATTCCCTTGATTGTTGAAGAAAAAAATTGGGAAATGTAGATTTATTTATCTAAAGAAGAAGCTACTTGCTATCATCCTAAGTTATTTAATATTAAAAGTCAGAAGTTTCATTTAACCTTAGATGCTATAATCTGCTTTTTTCAATAAAGACATTTTGTAGTTATGTTTGATTTTGTAGTTTGTTGCACAGAAGTAAATATTTTTAATGTAGGTGGGCACTAAAAACATTTTCAGGAGACCCTTGTATTGCCTACAGAAATGCCTAACTGATATTAATTGATTGCAGCTGCATGCATGAAAGATTTTGGTCCTCCAGTGCAAGTGTTACTAATTAAGGTCTAAAATATGCCCACAGCTAATGTTTTGCAGCTGCACTTAGAAAAGAATTTAGCCACTCTGGCAATTTTTAATTAAGCTTTAACCAGTCTGGCTAGTTCACATGTAGGCCAGTCAGTGTTGAGGAACACTTCCTTTTTAAGACTCCCGCTATTTCTTGGAGCATTCCAGAAGAGAATTACTTCCCTGGCTAAGAACTTCCATAGGGTTTAGCACTAGGACCTTGGTTTGGGGAAGTTTCTAAATTTCTTCCTAAGAGACAGTGGCCAGAGCTCTGATAGGATGGATAAGATTTTGTTTTCTTTTATTTTTATATAGATAGATAGATACACACACACACATTTTACCTTTTTGAAGCTCTCATTTTCTTGCTTCCAACTTCATGGCACATATAAATAGATGGGAGCTTGATGACATTTATCTTCTGCACGCAGTGGTCCTGCAAGAGCAGCTATGTTTGTTAGGTATCTTTTCTCCAGCTGGGGATAAACCTGGATGCCTAGGAAAGAGTATAAGAGTAAGTTTCTTTCTGTTTTCTGTATATTTACACTCAGTGGGTTTCTTTTCCATTAAGCTAGTCAGTGTCCCATCCCCATGGATGCTGTTTCCTCCACTGCCTCCCAGAAGACAGATATTCACAAGCTGCTACTTCAGTGTGATTCCACCCTCTCCTCCAAAGATGCCTGCTGCAGCTAAGCCACTCCGACTTTGCAAAGTACAAATGAAATAGACAGTAGTATATCTAAAAATGAAACCTATTGGTGGCTATCACACAATGTCTATTTTGGCAGAGTCCTCTGTTGTGAGTTCTCTTGCATGGGCAGAATGGAAAGAGTTAGGAATGCCATAATTGTTTTAGGAACATAGCCTGCACTACTGTGCTTTGAACCAGATGTACCCCAGTTCCATATGGCCTTTGAATGCATGCTATTTTCTCACTCTCCTAATCTTTTTTAATTCATTCAAAATGAACAATTCAGGCCCTCTTTGGGAGAAAAAAAAAAAAATACAAAGACTCTTCCCAACATGTAAAGCATTTTAACACATATCACCATGATGGTGACACAAATGTAGTCAATAAAAATCTATGACCTATTCTTAACGCATCAAGTATTTACACCAGTACATAACCAGCCTAGCTGAAAAGACCAGCATACTTGAAATACTAAGTGCCCCACAGGGGCCTCCTTACAGGAACCGCATGCTGGAAAATGAATATTCATTCATTGCAGGAACGGAGTGAGTCAGGACCCAGTTCCCAGAGGGGTGTGCCACAGAAGCGTACAGTGGAGGTTCATCTCACTGGCATGACATCTGAGCCATAGATCAGTGTGTAACTGTGGAAGCTGTTATATGACACATGCTTGTTAATCTGGCATGCAGCTTATTCAGGAGGGATTTGCCAGCCGTGCTCTTCAACGTGCCATCTAGCCTCAGGTCTGCAGCTTTTAACTCGCAGCTGGAGAGGAGCACAAGGCTCTGCCAAGCCCTCTCAGGGCTGAACTAGAGACGCTTGGCTACTGCTGGGAATCACTAGGAACAGGTGAACTAGACTAGTGAGTCTGCCTTCAGGTCAGGTCCCTGCTGTTCAGTTTTTCAGTCCCAATAAGTCATAGACGCAGAATAATTGAGGTTGAACAGGACTTGAGGAGGTCATCTGAGCCAGACCTTGCTCCAAACACCCACACTCAAAGCAGAACTAGGTGGAGGGGGGCGGGTCAGAAAGGGGTACATACACACACACTGTATGTTTTTTTTTAGATAGATAAATGGGGGGAAATGTAGTTCTTTGCAAGGGCAACACCTGTGACTTTTTTTTTGGCTAAAACATCCTTCACTTCAATCACTGATTTATGCCCTACATTAAACATTGGAAGGCTCTACTCCTATTAAACATTAAGAATCTAGATGCTGCAGGTTGCTTAGCATGCTTGCTTTAGAAATGTGTTATTTAATCTTGTTTAAACCAACATATAGCACTGGCACTCTAGGTACCCTAACTCTCCCAACTGTAGCCCAAGGG